ATTAAGAATAACTTGCAACAGTATTAATTACAGCAAAACATTACATGGTACGTAGAGCTAAACAATTAATAGTCTCCACTGAAATTTCAGCAGAATCTATCCTCTAAATAATGCTTCCCACACATCTAAATACCTCCCCACTTGTGCTTAAAAAGTAGATCAAGTCCCCTCTAGCTCTAGGTATTACAGCTAATTCTAAGCCTAGATTATTGAAAAATAAATCATGTTTAGTTACGAGCATGTATGTGCCTAGCACTTGTAGCTTTGATCTATTGAAAATTATGCTCGTTTTGAGCGCTTTGTCTAGGTCTGGGTATCCTTGAATATGATTCATCTTTTTAAAGAATAGTTTTTTTTTTTTTTTCACGACCCCTTTTAAATGTTCTTGAAAATTATTATTATTATTATCTGGCCCAGTTCAATTATACCTTCCAAGGTACACATAGACCCACCAAGTATATATTTTGTTGGAGTAGGTATATAGAATAAGTGTGATAGTCGCATTGGATTCTTCCTAAGATTCAGTTTCTCTTCCAAGGTTTCTTGGTTATACATATTAATTTATTGTTTATTATAAACATATCATGTGATCGATCGTGTCCCCTGTATTCCTTCAGCAAGGAAATTTGTTCCCAGCTAAATCAAGCTAGCCAGGGCAGCAATTATCAAGAACCTCTTTAAAAAATCAAGAGAAGAAGAGAAGAGTTAATTCCAAATATTTCTTAATAAAGCAAGCTCCATCTTTGAGATTTTTTTTTTAAATAATCGAAAAGAAGAAGAAAAGTCTTTGAGAACCATCAGCTTCACATGCTTGTATGCAACGTAATCCATTCTTTAACTCTATTAGAATTATTATTTTGTTTCAATCAACTTCTTTATTTAATTATTAATAATAGTTTACATATATCTTAATTAATTTTTATAAATTTTAAAATTAATAACTAGATATATTTTCAATAACTATCAATATGAACAATTATAAAATTTAAATTTAAAATCATATAAAAGTAAATTTTTTAATCCCAAACTCCTACTACCGAAGTCAAGTATTAAAATATTAGTTTAATATATTTTATATGGTTTGATAATGCAGTATATAATACTTTAAAATATATATATATTTTTAATTAAAAATATATTAAAATATATTTTTATATTATCTTTTCAAATAAAAAAACAATATAAAAAGAGGTTGTACAGCAATTTAAGCAAATAAAATAAGTAAGCATCTGAAATGATCTTCTTGGCACACAACGCACGCAAACAAAGAATTTATGTTATTAAATAATCCTTTTTTCAGTTCCAATCCTTGCCAACATATATAGACGTTGATAATTAATGGCAGCGACTTTGTATCTATTATAAGCTTTGTTGAAAAGCAAGATTATGGTTTTAGTTAGTTCACATTATTAAAACCATAGTCTAATTAATCCTTAATTATCTGCGTGATTGGAGACTGTTTAATTTCATAATGTATTGATAGATATTTTATGATTGTCGCTGTCTCTTACGTAGGCAAAAATGACTGTCCAATTATCTTATTTTTCTCAAGTCTTCGTCTGCCTTGTCCTTCCCAACTTCTTTGTTAATGACAAAGAAGAAAAAAGAAGAGATTTGTGGCCTCCATGACCTACATGTCGTTTTCGCCCTAGCTGTCATCTCACCGCATCAAATCACGGTTAAGAAGACTCCCATCAATAAAATCGAGAGAAGAAAAATGGTGAATTAATGGAAGATGACATAAAGATGAGGGTGAATACATGGATGCATTGACTGTTAATTTAAATAGCAACATATTTTCATCCTAATTACATCATCCTAAAACTAGTTGTTTCATTATCACTTGGTCCTTGATTAGAAAACTTTTCTGATGTCAATATTTAACCTGAGATATAAAAGATTGATTTATAATTTTATCGATTGAGATTTGGTGAATAAATTTAAATTTTAAATTAATTTTCAATCAGGTTAAATATTAAAATCAAATAAGTTACCTATATTTGATAAAGTTAAATATTGACATTAAATAAGTTAATTTAATTGATTCATAAGTCGATTGATTTGGTTTTGGTGAGTAAATTTATATTTTAAATTAATTTAATTGATTTAACAGGCCAAACTTTAACTTGGTTGAACTTATTATTTTTTTTAAAAAGATTTTAGTTTTTTATTATATTATTATCTAAATCCTAAGTCTTATCAACAATAAATCCAAATTAGTAACTAGATGCATATTACATATGCATACTAATATTTTATTTTGATATTTATAGCTTTACATAATCATTGTTATATAAACCTAGTTGACCATTGTGGAAGTGGAAATCTAAATTAATATTGCAAATGGAGTACAATTTTGGTCATGTTTGCATAATCAGGAATAAAAATAGCTAGCTAGTTGACTGTTATGTACTAGATCCAAGAACATCAATAAGTAGGACAAGCAATCTTCCATGAATTATTATATAAAATACACATTTTAAAATTATTATGATCTTCGCAAGTAGGATTCAGTTGATAATTGTAAGTCGTTGTTAATTCTTGGGGAAACATCTCATGTTAGTTGCTAATCATCTTTCAATTCTCAAATTGGATCCCTAATTTGATTATTTTCTCAATTAAACCCCTAATGTATTGGACATCCATTTTTTAGTCAAGTCTTGGGTTTTATATTTTGTACCATAATGGTGATTTTTTTTGAAGAGAACTTGATATTTTCATTAAATAGTTGCCATCGTTCAGAAGGAAGAACCCCATTGAAAATGCTAGATATGATGGGGATGGACTTGAAATTGACATGAGAAGAATCAAGAAAACGCAATATAATATGGTGAGAGAATGAGGTGTTCCTGTTTTTAATATACTTGGAACTCCATCTAAAGGCACATATATTTTTTTAAAAAAACTATAGTATTTCTATTAATCACCAATGAATATTCGAGGAGTTGGTCTAGTCTCTTCTTGGCTGAATCTGGCCACCAGCACAAATTTGAGAGGCTTTTCTAGTCTCTTGCAAGCACATTGAATTCACATATATTTTGGTTTCAAAAGCTTGACAGGGAATGTTCATTGGATTTATGATAGGTTTAAATTTCTGGGTTTTTTTTGAGCCTTGCACTTCGCGTCCTATGTATCAGCTGAGACTGTCCCATATACTTGATGAAACCATAGTTTATTTATTAATTTGGGAAAATCAAGCACTAATTTGTACAACTAATATGTTTTAAAGCAATGCTAGAGATAATATTTGTTGCCATTGATTCGCCGAGGTGAGTTCAATGGTAGAAATACATATGGCTTCAATCTAACTTCTATTGCGAAAGTTGCAGCTTATGGCCACATAGCACGTTTCAAGCTGGGCCTTAAGCCTATTCTCTCTGCTCACACCCCTCAATCTCTGTATCTGGGACCTTTTTTTTTTCCTAATTAAATATAAACAAATTGAATCTAGGCTGTGCTTAGGATTTAACAAAGCAAGAACATGAATATATAAATGGGAATTCTGTCCCTGTTTTGAAGTTTCCGACGTAGTTTCTTGCAAGGCCACTCTTGCCAAGAGGGCCGGTTGAATATTATACTGATGTCCGATTCTTCATCGCTTCCCGTTGATTTTTATAATGAGAGGTCCGATTCTATAATGTTAATTTAATATCATTGATCACATTACTAGATGCCCATCAAATCATATAATTAATGGATTAAGAACTTAATATTAGATATTATAAAAGATTCATAATAAGAACTTATAGTGTATCTAAAACACCCAACAAGGTAATTTTATCATCTAAGATGTTAGAACTGGCTTAAATTTATTACTATTTAGTTCACTTATTTCTTATGATCATTGAAAGAATTGTTTTTTTTTTTAAAAAAAAAACAAGGGATATTATCACTAGCAGGATTCTAGCATAATAATAGAGAGTACAAAGCAGTCAGGATTCTATGTTAGGCTAGTGATTAAGAGAAATCAGGTTAAAACACCGAGTAATATTTTGATTATTGTTTCGAAATAAAAAAACAATGATAGCAAGATGAAAATGATATATTTTTTTTGTATTTTTTATTTTAAAAATAAAAAAATTATATTAAAATTGTTTTAGACGTATTATTTCATATTCATATCCCTATTTTTTTTTATTAAATACATTTTTGTTCTTGATATTTCTATCTCTTTTATTATGAGATGGTAAACAAAATTTGAAAAAAAAAATTTGAAAAAAATTTGCATTAATATCTTTCAAGGTTAGGATTAAAACAATGTATCTAAGCAAGTTAAGATAAAATAAAAATACATTCAAGCTCAATAACTCTCTGCCACTCTCCTTTTCTTACTTGGTCTCACTATTTTTGATTTTGGACATATTAGTCATTCTACAAAACTATTATTGACATAGAAGGACTAATATGTATGACATCTTAAACTTTGGGGGTCATAGGAGTAATTTAAACAAATCCAAAGCTAATAGACTAGTGTCCGGTTATTATTACTTCCATGTACTCTCCTTTGAAATTTTGAATTTTGTTTTTTGGTTAAAAATAATTTTTTATATTTTAAAATTATTTTAATACATCAATATTAAAAATAATTTATAAAATAAAAAAATACTATTATAATATATTTTTAAATAAAAAATACTTTAAATGATGACTGCTATAATTTCAAACTAGCTCTCTAATTGAAAATCTGACCCCACTTACCGGATTCCAATCGGACATCCTCTGCTTCATATAGTCAAATTCCTTGATATACTTGCACATATATATAGAAGCAAATTTCAAAAGTTTTCAAGCAATTCCATACTTTTCTTCGCAAGCTTTCTTGACAAAGCACTTCCATGGCAATTTCAGCACCATCCATTGTCAAGATTTTAGTGCAGTGTAAGCTCCGAAACTTGATTTTCCTTTTTCTAAATGATCCTAATCAGCCAGATTTATTGATGAAAAAGGGTTATTAGATAGATATCAAAGAGTCACATGGTCTAGCAAACACAATTCAAGGAGGCAAGGAATCGAGGGGCAACTTTACTATCAGGAAATCTCAGTTCTTAACTAGCTGCAAATATTGCAATGACTTCATTCCTTGAAAAACATTTGATGGAATTTATCAATCACCACTTCAATGCAGAGTCCAGTGTATAAAACACACTGCGTTTCTTCAAATGTATAAACTTTTCAAGTTTTGAAGGCAAATGATGGCTCTGCTTCATCCTTCTTATTTCTTCCCTGGACATGATCTTAGGTGTTTGCGCAGATTTGTAGTTCCCCTTGTGCTTTCCCCTCGATATTTAGTGCTACAACTTCTGCATTTAGCCCATACTTCTCCATCTTCTCTAACCTCATCAAAGTATTGCCACACCTCAGATGTCCGTCGTCGTTTGCTAGTTCTGCTTGTATTGATATGAGAACTGTCCATGCCCACCAGCTCATCACTGTCTGGGAACTGATAAGCTTGAGGTCCAAATACGGAATTTTGTTCCTCAAAATCCTGTGAAGAGATAGCCAAGTAGAAGACGTTGACTACATGGAAAAAAGTAATCAGAGCTGCATGAACAACAAACGTAAGTTATCGAGTACCTGATCATGAGCCTCTGGCACTTCCACTCCATCACCTGTCGGCTTAAAAATATTGCATAGTTCCCTGATTTGACTTGAATTCAGACTACCAATTTCTGATAATGCTAGCGGTGGGCTGAACGAAATAGCTGCCGGTCTGATGTTACTCGTTCCAACCTCCTCCATCGTGACTTCAACTTCAGAGCTCATATTAAAACCATTTAATTCCTGAGCGCAGACTTTCCATGAATTCCTGGAGTTCTTTTGCAAGATATTTGTGATTTCATTTATCAAAAGACGTTGCCCTGAAATTCCTTTCATTTCAAGAGGGAGAAAAAATTCTACTACGTAATCAATGCTGCTCACGTAGACGCTTTCTAGCTTGATTGCAACAACACCACGAAGACCAAAATCCCACGCTTCGAAAATAAATGGATAATCTTTCACATCAAGCTTAGAGATGTCAGAGACAAAGTACATGCTATTTGATTGAAGTGCTTTTCCAGCTACACCTTTCCCTTCCTCAAGATGCTGTTCTCCACAGGCCTCCATAAATTCGACCATTGTCGAGTCATTCAGATAGCAAGCACTCTTCTCCAAGCGAAGAATATGTCTATCTGACATCCATGTGAGAGCCAGGGGCAGATAATTTACATGACATATGTATTCCAGCATGTCAAATAGCTCAGCAGAAGCAGCAACTTGATTAATTGAGATACACTGCAACATGAATAACAGCAATGTTTTCAAAAAATACTCGGAACAAATCCATGTGTAATAAATGCGCACGCTGTTTCCTAAATAATTAGCAACAATTCTCTCAACAATTTCATATTTCCTGAATGTTTCCTAAACAAATAAGGCGCATGCCGTTATGTTTTCACTAGTTATAGAAGAAGCGAATAGTAATGAGATAGCGTGAGGCCTGCAGAATTGATACCTCCGGAGACCAGACTTTTCCTTCCATTATTATGTGTTCATCATCAGGTTGGTCTTCAAGAAACGCAGAAGAGCGCACCGTCCCTGACAAAATTAGAAGGCTCGAACTTTCAATTTGCATTATGTTTCCATCTCCCATTGCAGATTCCTGATTCCAGTTGTCCAATGACTCTGCATAATCAAGATTTCACCGCAACCAAAGAACACTTGATAACAAATTACAAGCAAATATATAAAACAGAAATATTAAATTAAGGTGGATGAGATTTGGGGAAATGCTTTGTACAGTTGTGGCAATGATATCTATCCAATCTTGCGACAACTGTACATAGCAGATACGATGAGATTATTCACCGCTATTAAGCTGAGTTGGATAAGATTTCCAAGCTGAGGTGAAGAGCAATGGGTCGTCATGCCTGTATAGCACAGGATGGCGATTCTTTTCTTCTATGTGGTATTCAGGCAAGTGACCAAAGAAAGTTCCCTTAAACTGGTTCTGTAAGCGAAAATGACGAAACCCAGAACGACATAATCTGTCTCGCCACTCAGCAAATGTCTCATGCCGTACAATCTGGTCAATGCCTTCTAGTGCCACCAAGTTACTAATCTGCCGCCTAAAGTACATCTCCCACAACACCTTGCTGTGGTTACCGTGTTCGAAATTGTCCTTGCCAAGCGAGTCAAAAATAATAGAGTGATAGCGAAATGACTTGGTGAAACATTCCAAGAAATCCTGACCATTAAGGCTGGCTTCTTGTTCAACAACTATCATGATCTTACGCAGATTTGTAGTTCTCCAACTTCTGCATTTCTTCCCTGGACATGATCTTAGGCTTCTTGTTCAACAACTATCATGATCTCTGGTTTGAGTTCTTTCAATTTAGACAACACTGTCTCAATTGCACCTGGCTGTGCAAGCAATTTGTGGAGTTCAAACTCCCATCTGACAACAATCGTCTCATCCTCACTTGATCTTTCGAGTTTGAGAGCAGCTTCAACCATTTCAGCTGGGCTACTAGCCACCATATGCTTAACCTCAAACTCAATAGGAAGCTTTTTAGCTTCTTTGGGGAGTTTCTCAAGTATCTCATTGAGATAGTCACCTTTTTTGGACAGAATTGGTCCGATACTTGTTAAATGGAACGATATAGCATCACTTGACTGCTTTAGGTAATCATCAAGCAAAAGGCACCACCGCCGGCCGTTAGCCATCAATGAAAAGTCAATAACTTGGAATCTTTTCTTTCCGGTTAAGGCATCCACGATGGAGTTACGGGTTGTCAATTCTGAAAACCAGAAGAAAGGAAAAAACTGGTAATCCATGTTGCATCTCAAATCAGTGCAGGAAGGCACTAAAGGTCTGGGATTTCGAGGATACAGTTTATAGACTCGTCGAACTAGAGCTTCAGCAAAGTATTTGACAAGTTTGTCATCATTGTCTGTCAGGATATCCTTGATGAGTGAATCAGCAAGATGCAGGTCCCCAACTTCAATTGCCTTGGCACAATCCAACAATTTGTTGAAACCAGGAGCAGCCATTTTAACAGATAAGTGATCCCTTGATTGTTGTAGATGGCTTCAGTTCAAGCACCAAGGAGTTTCTGGTTTAAGTTCTTATGGAGAAACCAGCTCCTCTGGATGCTATCATTTGATTAATGTCCTCTCCTAGTTTACTTCCAGAAATCAACAGGAAAATGTTAAGAGTTTGGATACAAACATCAACTGTTTCAATGAAAAACTCCACCCCGTTTTGTATTGTAATTAAAAAAAATTATTAAATCATTACAAAACAAATCATACTAAGAGGTTTGCCACGGAAGGACTCTTACGTTTGTCAGGAAAACAGACAATAGGAAATTACAAGGATCAAATAAAGGTGCCATAATTTACAAAGGTAAATGACTCAAAACTACCTGAATTTTGAGTCATATTGAATTTGGTTATTGAATTATAATCTTTTTGGTTTGAGCATTGTGAAATATTTTTGGGAAAAAATAGGCCTTGTTTTCGTAAATTCGTTAATTTTTTTATATAATTTTTTCCAAGTCACATATTTTCACAACAAGTGTCGTGTTTTTAGATTATCATTTATGATCAAAATTAACATAACGATTTCCTTACAAAAAAAAAAAGTGCGAGGTACCTAATTTTTAAAATATTAAATTTCTAGGTTTAAATTTAGTTGGACTAAAAATTCATAATATTTTGGATCAATTAGTCTTTAGGTCTCATAATTTATTTCTTTTTTATTTTATTCTGTGTTGAACTAAGGTTTCTTTGTCCTCTCTCAAGATAATTAATTTTTTTATTAATAAAATAAAAAAATTTAATACTTTAAATCCTATAGTTTGTTTTTATATTATAAATAAAATTATCCCAACTAATTAAGTTAAATATTATTCATTTAATTCAATTAGTATCGATTCTCAACCAACGAACCAATTCTTTTATTTTTTTTAAAAACTAAAATCTAATTTACTTTCATTGTAACTTCGGCACTTCACTCCATTAACGAAGGTTTGGATTTAGCCCTATTGATTTTTTTTTCCTCTTCCTACTTAGCTGTCTTCGCATCATGTTTTCCATTTCCTCTAAATAATATTATTATTTCCTCTAAATAATATTATTTCTCAAATTAGTACTCCTAAGTGTTTGAGAGCTTAATAATACATGTAAACTTCTTGTTTATGAAATAAAACAATGTGTTCTACCCCTAAGTGTTTCAAGCACTCTCCTAATAACCTCTCCCCTCTTTTCAATCAGAGTACCATCCAAAGGAACTTAATGGACCTGATCCTTCCTCTCATATTACTACACTTGAACTCAAGCTTCAAATCCATTAAGGTTTCCCTCTTTGCACTGATTTTACCCACCCTCTAAACAAAACACCTCGATTTCATCTCTTTTAACCTTCTTTGTTTTTTATTTGAACAACTAAAAGCAACTCAGGTACTCTTAAAAAAGCAAACCCTTTAACTCTTTCTCCCGCAATAACCCACGGAGATAAATCTCACCTCCTTCCAATCCTGCATAAATATAGCAGCACAAGACCATAAATCAAGATATATCAGCTTTCAGCTACCAATAAACACATGTCACTACATCCGCGGTCTAATTAATACATCACTCAGCAACAACAATCTAATAACATGACATCCAAAAATTTTGCAATCTCCAAAGCTTCCGTGATTTACTGGAGCACAAGTCCAGACTCCACAATCAACAATAACTAACAAAACCCACCTCCAAGTTTGTCCCGTTCGCACAGATAAGAACATAAACGTAACTAAATATGAATAAAGATTGTGTCTTTTTTATGCATATGTGTATAAAGCTTGAGTTTTTTTTATGTGGGTTTGCTCAGAAATGGTCAACAAAGGCACTGAATGGTTGAATTCAATGTAAGAGAACAAAACTGAATCAAGACCACAGAATGATTGAAACCAATGCAAAAGAACTAAACTCAAACAAGACCACACACATAACATCAAACTTAACCTTAAAAGAAACAAAATTGTCAAAAAAGACCAACCACTTAAAAATCCCAATCTCCTCGAAACTTTGCGATTTGATTCCGTATGGAAGAAGCCAAGGGAGAGAATCAAGTTTTGAAGGGAGAAAGAGGGAATGCCGTGTATGAGTAATTACTAAAAAGGAAAGCCCTGGTTAGCAGGTATGTAGCAGGTTTGGATTTGGAGAGCTGATGCTGGTGCTAGATTTTTCTACGCAGAAGACCTTCCGTTTACTAAGAACAGAAATGTTGGTTTTCCTAGTAAATGCGAATAGTAATAGCAATAACCGTAATGGAATGGAGGAGCTAACCATGCGCAAAGACAAGCGAACTTAGAATATATTTTCATAAAGCCACTCAGTATTTTAAAGCCACAATTAGTAGTATTTCCCACCAACAATTGGTATTAGAACAAACGATGGCCTACACACACCGCTTGAAGATTGTCCATTGTCGCCCATGCACGTCCCAAACAACCAAAGGAAGAAGATAATTGAGCCATACATGCACCATAATTAAGTCAAGTCGAGCCGTCAAGCTATTAGCCAAGCCGTCAAGCCATTAGCCGAGCTGTGCTGAAGAAAATTCATAGAATATTCTCGGTTCATCCCTAGTGAACCGATCGATGTTTATAATCGGTCCAACTTATTTTTGACTCATTACCAACCACGTTAGACCGGTTCCATACTATTTTGATAATTCCAGATTTATCTACAAGGTTTTTTTTTCAAAATTTAAAGAATAAAATGACTATAAAAAATACACAAACATTTATTTTGAACCTACCAAAAACAATTATGATCATTAGTGTATTAAATTGAAGGAATTTCTTGGTTTATAAGAAAGTATAGAAATTGTGAGTATAGAAACTATATAAATACTCATCCCAAACTTGACCAAAGATAGTTACGATAATTTATGTATAAGATTGAAAGCATTTCTTGGTTCATAAGAATATATAGAGATTGTGGAATATGGTTATGATGACCCAGATTCCAAAGAACCAAAAGATATTTTATAAGAGGCATAAAAACAAGTCCTCATAGTCGATAGAAAGAAAGACAACAAAGCAAAAACCATTATTTGATGGGGCCACATTTGAGATCGTTGCTTTTGCAGAAATATCTAAAGAAATATGAGAGGCTCTCCAACAAAAATACAAAGGTGCTGACAAAATCAAGAAAATTCATCTCCAATCTTTGTGAGGTGAATTTGAATAATTAGAAATAAAGTCCTCATAATCTATTTCTGATTATCACATAAGAATTATGGTGATAAACAATCAAATAAGTAGAAATATAGAAGCTCTCACAGATGCTCAAATTACTGAGAAAATTTTAAGATTCCTAGATCCAAAATTTAACTTTGTTTTTGTCGCTATTAAGAGTCCAAAGAAGTGGATAAGTTAACAGTGGATGAACTTATAGGTTCTTTACAAGCTTATGAACAAAAGATTATAAAAAAAAATAGAGATAAAACAATGGAGCATGCCTTGCAATCAAAATTGTCCCTTAAAAAAGACATATATGAGCAATGAAAGACTTTAACAAGTGGATATATCACTTGAGGAAGAGGTCAACAAAGATGAGAATGATTTCAATGATTTTAAAGAAGATGATTTTGGAATAAAAGATTAAAAGGAAGAGATGGTAGAAACATCACTAGAGGAGGTTAAGGACAAAATACTTTTACTTCTAAAGAAAAAAGAGACGATTACAATAACTATGATAAAAGAAGCATCCAATGTTACAACTGTATTCAATTTAGGCACTATAACACTAAATTTCAAAGAAAAGCTTCATTAAAGGTACATGAATAAGTGAACTATGCAGAGGAAGATACCACCATAATAGTATCAGTTGTATTATTTGTCTAACAAGGACTATGCGAGAATAAAGAGAATGTTTGGTATTTGGATTCTGGAGCCAGCAATCATATATGCAGACAACATGATCTATTTGGTGATACAGATGAGACCATATAATGACAAGTCATCTTTGAAGACACCTTAAAAATTCTAGTAAAAGATAAAGGCAACATCCCAATCAGGCTGAAAAATGATAAACATAGCTACATCGCAGATGTTTGCTATATTCTAACCATAAAGTATAACATGATAAATGCATGTTAACTTCTGGAGAAATGTTATACTCTTTTCATAAAGAATTGTCATCTAACAGTCAAAGATTACAATGAGAGATTAATTGCTTTTATGAAAATATACAAGAATACGATGTTTCCCCTAAACATTCAATATGATATAGCAAAGTGTTTGAGTACCATCACTAATAATAAAGAGTGACTCTAACACTTAAGGCTTGGACATTTGAATTTTAAAAGTCTGAAGATGCTAGCAAGTAGGAAGATGATAAAAGGTATGCCCTAGATTGATAACTTAGATGAAGTTTGTGAGAGTTGTGTCCTCAACAAGCATCACAGAGCTAGTTTTGCTAAAAAGATCAACTGGAAAGCAAAGAAATTACTGGAGTTAGTACATACCAATATGTGTGGTCCTATAAAGTCAATGACAACTGGACATAATAGGTACTTTCTTACTTTCATTGATGATTATAGTAGAAAGATGTCACAATCTAAATCTTGAGAACATGACTGGAAACGCAGGAGTAGTGTTGAAATGATACCTCACCTTTGCTAAGCCTCAAAATGAACAAATCAAAAGAACAAGTTATTTAAAAAAATCATAACATTTCATAATTTTCAAAAATATTATAATATTCAAAACTAATGAAACCAAATGATTGTTCAAAACTTCTCATTAATAATTAAAACAAAAACAAAAATTTATAATACTTATTATAGTATAAAAAATCCAAACTTAATTAAAACAAGGTAATAGTGGAGCGTCTAAGAGATCAAATCAAAACTAAAAGGAAAGACTCGTAAAACAAGAAAAACATACTAACCAAACTGAAGAAGCAAGAACACTCAACAAAATCCATTTGCTAACATAAACTAAGAACCTAAAATAATATTAAGAATGAGGGGTGAGTTAAACAAACTTAGTGAGGGAATAAAATTTAATATATATTTTAGATATTAATAGTTTGCAAGTTGATTTATCTTGATATACATATACATATTATCGTAAAATTATAGAATACATGTCAGAGATTAGATGACACCCAAAGCTGACCACTGTGGGATGATCAGTTGTCACTTGCTGATTCCTCTCTCACCAGCTAGGTATACAGAATATTATATGTACATAGGCTAACTACTTTTTATTAGCATGAAGTTACTGACAAGTCCTATACCAAGACATAACAAATATTCACAAAATTATCAAAGAAATATATATCATATTGAATAAAATTTAGTTTGACAGAAAGTTGGTGTAAATTCAAGAATTAATGAGTAGTTAGAAAATAAAGTAACATATATAAATATTCAAGAAATTAACTACTTGTACTCATCGTATAATCAACATAAATATTTTTTTTTATAATATATGTATATTAAAGATTATCCCACTTCCCCGAAAAATATAGAACTAAAGGAATGTCAGATGAAAGACCCGAAAATTCTATTGAGAATCGTTAGGAGAACCTACAATAATATACAAAATATACTAAAAAACAACCCAAAATAACATAAATAAAAGATCCCAATGCATAAAATAAAACTAGGTTTAGTTTTCTAAGTTTAGGGACTAAAACGATAATTTTTCAAAACAGGGACTAACACATAATTTTACCAAAATTAGAGGACCAACCTAGGATCACCAACCTCGTGATTCCTTATATTAAATTGGAGAAACACACTAAGATCACCATTAACATCCTTATCAGAAGAACAAAAAAGGATGAAAAATCTAGAAGATTTATATGATACCACTCAAGTCATGGAAGATACAACTCTATTTGTTTTTTTTTTTTTATAGATAATGACCCGCTTAGCTTCAATGAAGCTATCATAAGAGAGAAATGAATAAAAGCAATGGATGAAGAAATACATGTATTTAAGAATGATACTTGAAAGCTGACTAATATATCAGAAAGCAAGAAAGTAATTGGTCTAATGATACATTTTCTTAGCGTAGAAGTGACACAAAAGGAAAAAAGGATTTTTGTATCCTAAAATGGTTATGTTAAAAGATATTATTAAAAAATTTAAGATAAAAAGTTGCAATCTGGTATTAACTCTATTTGAAAATAGAGTGGAATTGAGCAAGAGTAAATTAAAAAATATTGATCTAACCTACTTTAAAAGTTTAATAGGAAGATTGAGGTATTTAACACGTACTAGACTAGTTATTCTCTATGGAATAGGACTTATTAGCAGATATATGGAGATACCAGATCAGTCTCACTTGAATGCAACTAAGAGAATTCTCTGCTACATCAAATGAGCAATAAATAAAGGTATATTCTATACTTAAAGTAAAAACTTCAATTTTGTTGGCCACTCCGATAGTGATCGGGGTAAAGACCTGGATAAAAGAAAAAGCATAACAAAATTTGTCTATTTTTTATTTTATATAGGAGATATATCTTTCACATGATCATCTAAGAATCAATTGATAATAATGTTATCTAGTTGCGAAGCCGAGTATATTGCTACCAACTCAGTTGTATGTCATTTAATATAGTTAATGAATATGCTGAAGCATTTAAGATTTTCTTAATAAAGTCTTACAGAGATTTATCTTGATAATCGATCCATGATTACATTAGCAAAAAACCTAGTGTATCATAAAAGAAGTAAACACATTGATACACATCATCACTTTATTTGAGAGTATGTGAAGAGCAAAGAAGTTGCACTAATATCTTGCAAAATAAATGATTAAGTTGCAGATATTTTTACAAAATCATTGAAGGGAGAGATATTTATCAGATTGAAGTTCATGTTTGGTATGACATCTCTTGATTGAGTATAAAAAAAAAATTATTGTAGTAAACTCAATATAGAAAGTGAAGGATTATAGCTACTAACCATGGACTAGTAGCTACCAACCATCTTTACATTATAGCCAATCGTTTTTATTCACATTTGAAATCTATTTTTATATTTTTAATTTGTATATAAATAGACAGGTAGCTTTATGTTGTTATGTGTGGGAAACAAAAGAAAGAAACACTAAAAGAGAAAAAAAAGGGTTTGTTTAAGATCTTAATAATACATTAATAATACATGTAAGCTTTTTATATATGAAATAAAACAATGTGTTTTATTCCATGAGTATTTCAAAGTCACAAACCAACCAATGATCTTTCCCACCAATGCATTTAATTATTGAAAAACTGTTTAATATATAATATATAATTTATATAATTTTTTTAATAGAAATGTTGTTTCTTGATTTAATTTTCTATGTTGTTTCTTGATTTAATTTTCTTATTGCATTGTACTCCCACTCCCACCGTACGAGTTCTTCGCCCAATTCACAATTTGCTTGAAAATTCCTTTTTTTACGAAAATATTGTCTCCTTCAATCATTTGACTTTTAAGAAATATTTCTCTACAAAGAAACCTTTATTAGTGTCCTACTGAGAAACTTTTTTTTTTTTCTCTGCCTACTTAGCTGTCTTCGCATTCTGCTTTCCAAATCCTCTAAATAATATTATTATTTCTCGAGATAGTCTTCGCATCCTATGCAGCCATTGCTTTCCAGGAAGTGGCGTAATGCACATGCCCCAGGAGGAAAAATTAAGTAAACAGACATAACGGTCTTCCTTTGATGCCTCCTTTTATTATTTTAATGGAGTGTTATTTTCAAGATTTGAATTAGAACACTTGAATATTATTGAAAAGCTGTTTAACATTAAGATCAAGCTGTTATACTTGCAGGCAATATTGATATCTTTGCTGTTTAATATATGGTTGTGTGATTGGCCACTAACCCTTAATTATATTGGCGTGGCTGAAAGGGAAAACATTTGACCCAACAGTTCTAATGCAAACATTTCTTGAAAACCAGCAACGAGCCCGTGTTCCTATAGCAGAAAATATGCGTAAATGTTCCTAGAAAGAATTTTTGCAAGACATTAATTAGGAGAGGCAAGGCAAGTATGGACTGTTCTCTGTAATCAATTTTATTCCCTAGACCAAACACACTATGTTGTTTACAACAATTGAAATTCACATTTGATTTAATGCTGGGTTTACGACAGCATCGATTCCTTTCAGCATGCTATATTTGTTTGCTGTCTCCTCATCCATATTCTGGACATATATTCTCAAGGAGTCATTAGTTCCTGAACTTCTTAGAAAATATGCCTCAGCCTTAGCAGCCAATTCATTTCTGCATGAGTTGACATTACCATTGAGCAATCTCAACACCACATCCAATCTCTCTGTATCGCTGTCGAACTGCATGTCAGAGTCAAAAGATTAGAAAGAATGTGACAGAGTCGTGACAGTAAAGAGCTCATTAGAGTGAGAATCTTACAACAAAATCAGTTTGTGTCGCTTCTTCTGGTGCTAGCATAAACTTGATAACATAAACCCCACAGTCGTAGCTGCATAGAGAGAAATCACATTTACCATGTGTTTTAAATTTACTTAATGTTTAATCAAAATGTTGTCAACCAGAAATATGCTCTTACCCGTTGGTTTGTTGGGGGACATTCGGTGATCTGTCCAATGAAAAACTTGCAAATGACCAGCCATCAGGGTAGTTCTGTTTTATATCATCTTCGAATAGGATATCCAGGATAGCCAACTATTTTTTTAAATATCATAGCATGATTGGTGTTAAAGAATAATATAAAACTAATCATTGGATTTCACCTTAAAAACAAGTTGTCAGAAGTTTGAATTTTACTATTCTTAAGATTAATATATTTAAGAAAAAGCAGTGACAAGTTTATGCAAGTTTCATCTAAATGCTCAAGCTTATAGATGAAATGGTTTCCTGACTAGTAGAAGTAAGCGTAAATATAGGAAAGATATGGTTAAATTAGCAGACAAGACAAGGTAGCTCGAAGGGTGCTAGCACTTACCACGTTAGGCAATCTCTTGTCGACGGAACTGCAGCTAGATTTAGCTAATGAGTCCCAAATCTCAACAACTTGCTTCTTCATATGCAGAACAAATAGATAGAAGTGTCTTCTTTCCTTATCAAAGACAGGAACATACATCTGCAACCATATGTAGTTAACTGGTTGTCACCTTTCAAATGGGTCAACCAAGCATGGAAATGCATGAATTGGACTCGACGAAATTCAGACCTTACCTTCTCACAGCTGAACAGAGCAGACATATAATTCTCCCTGAACATGTGTTTCTTTGCAAAAGAGATACACTCGGATGTATCATATGCGTGCTCCTGTTTTACGAATGCGTATGTATTTCTAAGGAAATTATGTCTTGCAAGTAGGACTACATGGTAAATTGAATCGAACCAATTATACTATATGGAATTAAGATATAGGAAAAATTACCGAAAAACAAATTGGAAGGTACCAATTTATAGAACCTTTCTTCTTCCTCCTCTCAGCTACGGTTAGGGCATCAGACATGACAGAAATGACGTTATCATCAAGGCATGTCTGTGGTCTTAGTGTGCACAATTCACTCCGAGTCAAATAATTATGGTTGCAATGAACAACAATCTCACTGACAAAAGATAAGGTTCACAAAACAAGAAGTTGAATTTTTTTCTTTTTAAATAATGCATTTAGTAACTTGGAAGAGGGGAGGAAATCTAACCTCTCATCCAAAGATGAGGAAAAAATGTAGTTGATTAACTTTAAATCCTCTGGACTCGTAGATTTGATCACCTTAAATGGACCTGCCTGGTGTCTAGGCATTTGATGTTCTGAATTTCCCTGTTGCTTTCTTGAACTAGACATTAAGCGATCTATAGTCTCGTCCAATGAAGGTGAAAATATGTTGTCGATTAACTCAAAATGCTCTAGGCTGTCCGCTTCGATCACCATAAATGGAACAGGCTGATCTTTAGGTGTTCGCTGTTCTGCTTCTCTCTTTTTCTGACAATTTCTCAAGTGTTTAAGTAGATTTGTAGTTCCCCTAGTACTTTCACCTCGATACCTCTTCTTACAATGTTTACAGATGGCCCATTCCGCACCATTGTCATCTTTCAACTTATAGAAGTCTTTCCACACTTTGGATCTCGATTTTTTGGAACTTGGAGGTTTTACTGGACGAGCCCACTGGGGAGTTTTGGGCAATGTGGTGCCAGTAGTTTGTCCTTTGACTTCCTTATAAGAGATAGCCAAGTAATGTTAGATAATTTTACTGCATTTGCAAGCAAATCTGGCGTAATATACGCGTAGAATATGATCAATAAAACAATTCACCAAGTTATTATAGTGACCGAGATAGAGTAAAAGAAAGGTACCTGCTCATCATGCCCATCACTCAAGCAGCCATCCAATGCAATGATTATATCTTCTGTATTCAAACCGCCAAAATCTGAAAACCCCCGTGGAGAGCTGCCAGAAACAATAGCTGCTGTTTTATCAGACTTCCCTGCCTCTTCAATCCCAGTTTCATTACCCCAAAGTCTCCATGAATTCCCACAGTTTTCGGTCAAGGTTAATATGATTTCCTTCGTCAATACCAATTGTTCTGAAATTTCTCTCATTTCCAGAGGGAAAACGAGTTCTAATATATAATCAACACTACTCATGTAGGTGCTTGCAAGCTTAATTGCAAGAACAGCATGAAGGCCAAACTCCCATGCAACATGAAGAAATGGACAATCGATTACATCAAGGTCTGCAACGTCAGGGACAAATTGCATCTTTGATTGAAGTGCTTTTCCAGCTACCCCTTGCCCTTCCTCAAGAGGAGGTCCTTCAAAACATGCCTCAACGAAACCTTTCATTCCTACATCATTAACAAAGCACGCAGTATCCACGATGTGCAGCCTAAATTTCTCTCTTGAATTTGTATCATCCTCTCTCCTGTCTGAAATCCATGTTAGAGCCATCGGCAGATCATGTACATGACATACATATTCCAATATGTCAAATATCTCAGCTGAAGCAGCGATCTGGTTAATTGAGAAGCACTGCAACAAGAATAATATGAACTTTTAATTGAGGTACAATAAAGATCGAAGTAAAGCACTTTTATAATAACAGATGAAATTTTATTTTGTTTATGCGGTGCAAACGGCTTCTTCTACCTCCATGGAAATTATCAAAATCTAAATCTAAAAATTCGCTAAAAAATAATGTACATAAATATAAAAAATTCAATTAATGATTTTGTATTATTTACTAATACTCTCTCTCAAGTTAAAAGCTAGTTAAATTTTTTATTATTAAAACTATGAATTTTAAGTAGGATGAACTCTAATAAATAATTTTATATTATTTAATAACTTTAGAAGACAATAGATTAAGTGAGGGTCCTTATTTTACCAAATTGTTATCATGTTTTGTTAAAGAATTATCTCATCAAAAAATTTAAATTTGTTATTAAGTTCTCAAGATATAATTCTCCTCAAGTAAAAACCTTTGAAACTTGAGTTCAAAATATAATTTATATTATTCTCTAACATGTATTTTATGAATAAAAACCATTAAGGCTTGAACTCAAGATATCCTTTATTCTCTCAAATAAAAACTCTTAAAACTTGAAATTTATATAAACTCACATTATATTATGCTTTAATTTTATTAAATAGAATTGAGATGTTAAAATTTAAATTTGTAAGTATTTAGTCATCAAAATTGATTTGATATCATATCAAAAAATAATCTCATCTAAAATTTTAAATTATTAAATAAAATATTAAAATATAATTTATATTATTTTCCAATAGCTTTCTTTATAATTTTTTCATTAGAATGCAAATATGATTTAAAGCCATATTGGCTCATTTAATGATGCAATCTAATGGAAACTATCAATTCGACGAAGGGGACAAATTTGACCAATACACAGTAAAATAAAGTGGTTTTTCCATCCTGACAGAAATAGAGAGAACGATACCTCTGTCGACCAAATATTTCCTTTCATCATGATAGTAGCATCATCTGCGTCGTCTTCAAGGGATACAGAATTGCTTGCTTTCCCAGACTCCCGACTGGCATCTTGTGCTATGTTAAAACTGCCCAGCATAGATCCTAGGTCACCTATTTCCATGCTTATTGACTCTGCATAGTCAATATTATTATTACCGCAGCCAAAAACATGCATTTCAATAATTAATTCATGAAACCAAGCTATATTTAGTACATTAAAAAACAAAGTTTCTTAATCAGTAGAACTCTGATAGATGTAATTGTAGGAAGCAGTGTGCTCACCATCGTGAGTTAGGTCAGGTTTCCAAGCCGAAGAGATAGCGAAAGGGTAATCGAGCCGGCAGAGCAGGGGACGCCGATTCTTTTCTTCTATTCTATATTGATTAGTCTTGTTATTAAAAAACATAGTTTCACGGAACAATATGCGAGCAGGATGAAAACCAGCTCGAAACAGTCTGTCTCGCCACTGAGCCCATGTCTCATGTCGCTCAACATGGCCGATGCCCTCTTCAGCGACCACTTTGCTAATCTGGCGCCTAAAATTCCTCTCCCATAGAACTCTATAATCTTCAAGCCTTTCAAATGTATCCTCCTCGAGGGAGTCAAACATAACAGAGTAATACTTGAATGATTTGCCGAGGCGGTCCATCAAATCTGGACTGTTATGATCCGCTTCCTGTTCGACAATTACCATGACCTCTGGTTTGAGGTCCTTCAATTTTGACATCACCAGATTGAATATTGCATTGGGCACTGCAAGCAATTTGTGTAGTTCAAATTCCCATTCCACTACCACCGCCTCTCCCTTGCTTCTTCTGCCGAGTTGGAGAGTAGCTCCAACTATCTCACCTGCACTATTAGCAAGATATTCTCCATACTCGAAATCAATTTGATGGTTTTCAGCCGTTTTAGTGAGGATCAAACTAATTAACTTGAGGTACCCAAGATGTTTTGATAATTTTGGCCCGACGAAAGTTATCCGGTATGACAATCGGCTACCAAGTTCGCTTGCAAGCACTTTCATCAGGGTAGCATGCTGCCAGATATCCACCGCAACGGAAAAGTCAATAATGTGAACTTGTTTTTTTCCACGCAGTGCATCATAGAAGGGAGGCATGATGGTGTAGCTAGCAAACGAGAGGAAAGGTTCGAATTTGCAACCGAGGATGTCCATATCTTCTCTGAAACGTACTAACGGTATAGGATTTCGAGGATACAGTTTATACAGTCGCCGAACAAGAGCTTCAGCGAAGTATTTGACAACTTTTCTTGTGGCTAAATTGGCTTCAGTGGAACTTTGGAGTCCGATTTCCTTGAAGAGTGAATCTGCATGTTTCAGATCACCATCTTCAATTGCGCTGGCGCATTCCATCAATTTTTCAAGAAGGGAAGGGGCCATTTTTAGCAATAAATGAAGCTATGAATTTATCTATCCTTTTCTGGTACATGGTTTTATGCAGGTAACTATTTGCCTTTATAGATGGTCACAAGTCATCTCCTCTAATTCTGTACCATTATTATTTCTTAAAGTTGACTTCCATCCCAGCATAGAAGTGATCATCATTGACATTTTGATTACATCGAAAAGCCAACAGAGACAAAGTACAAAAAAAATTCTGACAAGAAACTACTAAGAACATGAAAAATTGTTTCATTTTTATTGGTACGTGGGTTTCAAGATTGGATGGAATTAGACCACTTGATAATTGAAAATCATTTAATCAAGATGTTATAGTTAGAGTCAAGATGCAAACAAGATAGACAAATTTAATCAATATAGTACTCTAACTAAAGAGGGCAATGGACAAGCCAGACAAGCTACGCCTTCTTAATTAGGCCTTCAAAAACAAGTGCCACTGGACGTGGAAGGATAACCCTGCACACCTGCCCTAATATATATTTTATTAATAATGTACCTTGGTTAATTTGTATATATTTTAATTAATTTAATAAATTTTAAAGTTAATGATTATATAAATTTTTAATAATTTTAAAATTTATAAAATTCAAACTAATAACTTTTAAAAAATAAATTTAAACTCTGTCCCGTTAAATTATACTTCTCTAAATTATTTGCCCTGAAATATCATACAATAATCGATGATTATTTGCTGCTTGCTTGGATATACCATGTGTTATATGTGTTATATTCTAGTATACTTTCCAACAACCTGTTTTTACTTGAAAATTAGGCTTACAATTTAGATATAAAATATTAATTTTCAACCTCTTTCACTCTAAACATCTAAAATATGAATACAAGGAAGCTAAGATCAATGATTTATGTGACCGAAAATATCAAATCAAGATTTTCTTTCTTCACCTCTCTCTCTCTCCCCTCAAATTTATCCTCGGAACAAAATAAAACATAAAATGGAATTAATCATCCACAAGCAATTGTTATAAAAAAAGAACAGTGATTGAGTTGTAAGAACAAACTTCATGGAAATGCATAGATTTCTATTTATGTATTGGGCCAACACATACAAGGGCTTATATATAATCGTTTTATTTTCCTCTGTTCTTTTCATATGGGACAAGTCTGACATTGATGTGCCCACGTCCATCTCATGGATTGTAGATCCCTATTGTATATGATCGCATTACTCTTATCATTTCCTTTCAATATATGTAATATTTGTCATTCAAAAGTGCATCCAACAAAATCATTTTCGGTGTATGGAAAATTATCATCAATAGACTTACTCTATAGTGCTACTCGTTCAATCCGCGTCCGCGTTATCGAACACCCAATGATACCTTGCTATCCATATTGTGCAGAACTCAATAGAGAAGAAGAAACCGTAGCTATACACACACACATACATACCCATTGCTTTTTCCCACTAACAACTATTCTCCCATTGATGATAGAATTCATCAATGGTGTCTGAGACCACCCACTCAAAGCCCCACCACCCAATGATACCTTGCTATCCATATTGTGCAGAACTCAATAGAGAAGAAGAAACCGTAGCTATACACACACACATACATACCCATTGCTTTTTTCCCACTGATGATAGAATTCATCAATGGTGTCTGAGACCACCCACTCATAGCCCCACCATACCATGAATCGGTTCTACATTAACCAAATCATTTGAGATTACAAAAGAAAATTAAATTGTAAGAGAACTGAAATCATAATTATTTAATTATTAAGATTTTGATATCATATTAAAAAATTATTTTAATTTAATAATTTAAATTATTAAGTGAAATCTATATATGATTTATATAATTACATAATAAAGATGTTTTTTTATTTAATTTTCTTATTGCATTATCCTCCCGCTACCCCCCTCTTCATTAAGTTAACACCCATCATATGAGTTCTTTGCCCAATTTACACTTTATTTAAAAAAAAATTTATAAGAAAATATTGACTCCCTTCAAATATTTGACTTTTAAGAAATATTCCTCGACCAAAAAAATGAGGTATAGTTACAGTTATTTTGATGGAAAAAATGAGGTATAGTTACAGTTATTTTTTAAAATATTTTTTACTAAAAAATATATCAAATAATTTTTTTAATTTGTTATATCAAAATATCAAAATTATCTAAAAATATTAAAAAATATTAATTTAAAATAAATAAAAAATAAAAAAAATTAAAACACTTTTAACGCACAAAAATAAATACAACTACATACTATCGAGATTTTTTTTTTTCTCTACCTACAAAGCTGTCTTCGCATCCTGCTTTCCAAATCCCATGAATAATATTATTATTTCCCAAATTAGTATTCGCATCCTATCCAGCCATTGCTTTCCAGGAAGTCTTCTCCAACACCCCAAATCCCTACTTACCTTTATTACACTGACGACTCGATCAAACTACCCAAGCTCCGAGCAAACCCACAAGGTGGCTAGGGGTTGCAGACCCCAAAATCTCCGTTATGTGTTAGCCGACCAGGCAGAATTTAGGAGATTAAAGGAAAGTACTCTGTAGACCTTGTTTATGCAGACTGAACAGGAGCGCGTTTGCTGGTTCTATTTTAGACATCAATTGTTTAGTTTAAATTAAACTATAAATTAAACATCATGCAAGTTTATAAATCCAAATAAAATATTTATACGTGAAATTTAATTAAAACAATTTCCCAGTGTGCCTATTAAAAATATAGAAAGATTTTCGATGTTGTTAAAAAATCAAAGAAACAAACATTTATGGTTGAAATAAGATATTTAACTAAAATCTATAAACTCAAATTCAAGCTCATGCCCGAGATGAGCAAGTGTGGTTTATGCCCAAATCTATTTTGCCTAAACTTATTTATGATTTTTTAATTAATTTTTCATTATATAAACCCTAAAAAAATATCTCATATTTTCTTAAATTGGGATAAAGAGTTTTGAAGATTTTACAAAAAAGCATGCCAATCAAAAATATTTTTTTCATTCATCTATATTTTTTTTTATTCTATGTTAAATATTTTTCATTAGAGAATACTTTCTAATACAATTCAAACCCTGAAACCTTTTTTTTTTAAAAGAAATTGGTTTCAAATATACCTATTAATCTATTTTTAAAATAAATTTCTAATATATTATCAAATATTAATGTTAGAAAATAATATAAATAATATATTGAAACCTTACATAACAACTTAAAGTATTGGGTTGAAATAGTTTTTGAATTGGTATCACAGTCTTGATAACTGTCATAACCCAATTCTGGCTTATCCCTCACTACAAGATTTCATAAATTTACCAGCAGATATAATCCATTAGTGTAACATTCAGACTCCATCGGTAAAATTTTTACCTACTAAATCATTAATGGAAAGCATTTGTTGGCATCCTTTTCGTCGTTAATACCACATTTCATCTCTACATTTGTCGGGAAAAAAATTGCCGATGGTTTTACCAACAAAAAATGCGCATAAAAAAATAATTCTCAATGACAATATATTGATGGATTTGTTCCATTAGTGATGATGGATTTATTCCATTAGTGATGATGGAATATCCAATAAATATTTTTTAACTCTTCTTAAAATGCTGACGGACAGAGTCATCGGTGAGTGTACATTTCCACCACTCTCTATGAAATGCCAACGGATGGTATCCATCTATAAATTCATATGTGAGTAGCTCTTTTTAAAATGCTGACGGACAGAGTCATCGGCGAGTGTACATTTCTACCACTCTCTATGAAATGCCAACGGACGGTATCCATCTATAAATTCATATGTGAGTATGGCATTTCCCTCTTTGTAATATGGTGATGGATATCTATCATGCATAAATCTATTGGCGTGTGTTTTTAAATTGTTTTTTTTTAATATTTAGAATAAAAAATAAAATATTATAAAAATTAATAGTAAAAAAAATAATTATACAAATAAAATTTTATTAAACATAAAAAATAAAAAAATAAAGTTAAATAATAATTATACAAATAAATTTTTATTAAACATAAAAAATAAAAAAATAAAGTTAAATAATATTCATTACAAATTGAATGTATTTCAAAAAAATATATTAAATTAGCACAATGATAAAGAAGGAAGAAGAGATTGGTTGTTCTCGGAACCATAAGGTCAAAAGAGAGATGCACGTGTATCACCACTTTATGATGTCAAGTTCATAAGCAGTTGGCAAATTTTTTCATAATTCGCTAAGAGTTATTCATATTTCTTAGTGAGATGAGCCATGTTTTGCTCATAATTCGCCGATAGTTGTTTATATTTTTTGGTGGGATGAGTTATGTGTTGTTGTAAGGCCAAGAACTTCTTAGATTGGGTGCTCCATATTGATTGGGAGCTCCTAACAGTTGAGACACTACGAGCCACCTACAAGTTCTTGGCCACAGTGTTAGAGAACCTATACACCTATTTTTTATCGGTATCTCCATCCATAAATTCGGATCGAAATCCAGATGGGTCGAAGGATCGTTCTCATATCTCTCCTTCAACCAGCTATTATAAGACTCCTGAAAATAAAAAAAAAATCATCATATTCAATTTAATAAAAATAATAACTCATGAAATAAAATTGTGGAACGAACATATCATAAAGTGTTAAGTATGGTTGTTAACAAACTGTTGCACTCCCTTTTGGCAGTATTGCCTCCGCACATGCCTCTTTACGAACAGCTCCATTGGGCTTGGCTTACATCTAAGAAACGTAGTCTGCAAGAAAAAGATTTAATTAAGTAACAAAAAATTATTTAATGATATATTTCATTTAAATTAATCTTACCATATGTTTTGCATATGCAGCAAACATAACGGAGCTGCCGATGTGTGTTGTCAGCGAATCATGAATTTTTCGGTTTCGATTGCTAGTACCAGACTGTGAGCGTCATGTGAACCGTTCATACATCACATGCTTAATATATTACAGTCAAATATCTTTCGGGATGTGTAGTAGTTTGAAATTCCTCCAAACCAGCATGTCGTTTCAGTCTTGGAGACCTTT